TGTGTGTGTGTGTGTGTGTGTGTGTGTGTGTGATTGAAACATCTTCCCAGCACTCCCTGTCTGCCCTAAAAGTTTTATGATTCCATTTCAGCCCTTTGGTCCCCCAGCAGGGGAACCCTATAGCTTGGTGACTTCCCTGTATTTGTTCTGAAGCTGGGGCAGATGTTTCCTGCAGCTGGCCACTCACTCAGCCACTGTCCTCAAGATGGATCAGCCTATTTTTAGCTCTATTGTTAAGGCCTGGGCATCTGCTTCCAGGAGCATGTGGGAGGCTGTGGCCCTGGAAAGGCCACACCCCGTCCTGCCCATCAAGCTCTGTCTCCTGGCAGTCCCTGTTTTAGGTCTCTCTGTGTCACTTGAGAAGAGAAGCGGCTTCTCAGACAGTAAACTCTGTACATGAGTTTGTTGTACCTGCTGAATGGGACAGTAGCCCTCTGTTCCTCATAGCAATGCTCTGGAGGGGTAAGACATGTGAGATTCACCCGGCAAGGGATATTTTGAAGCTACATGTATCAGAGGTTCAAGTCTGTGCTTAGAAACACCAAGTTGACTGTGTGTTGGGTGGGGGTGTCTTGGGCATTATTATTTGTTTCTTTTATTTTTGAGACAGGGTCTTATGTAGCCCAAGCTAGCTCTGAACTTAGTAGGTAGCTGAGGATCACCCTGAATTCCTGATCCTCTGGCCTCCATCTCCTAAGTGCTGGGATCATAGATGTTCACCACCATATTTTGTTTATGTAGTGCTGAGGGCTGGAACCCAGGGCCTCGTGCATGCTGGCTGAGCACTCTGCTCACTGAGCCACTGCGTGAGCCCCAGAAGGTTGTTCTCAATGCTAGACGAAGGAGGCCATAGGGTTGGGAGGAACAGGCCCTGGTGGCCCTGCATGTTTGCTGGAGTCACAAGTGGGCTTGAGTTAAGTGGCTCTCTGAGGCCCAGGTAGCCATCAGGAAAGCGGGCAAGTGGTGCCCTCATGGATCCCCAAGAGAGTCTAGGTTTCTGCTGACCCTAAAGAATCTTGACTGTCTCTGCCCTGCTGTCTGAGGTCTCCAACGTGTTGGTTCATTCCAGTACTCGGGGGCTGCAGTGGACAGAAGCCAAGGGAACAGCTGTTCCTCCGGCATCTCTGGTTCTTCTGGGAAACTGCACTGCCTACTACTAGTTGTGTGTGCAGCAGAACAGCCTGGCTGCAGGCCTCTCTCTCCCTGGTGACCGTTTCTTGCCCCGTGGGGACTCTCATGGCTTACAACGGCTCCTGGAGGGCCAAGGAGGCACTCTGAGTTCCTCTGCCCTTTGGGAGTAGCAGAAGCCAGGTTTTGTCTGCAGCAGGGAACATAATCCTGCTCAGAACTTTCTAGACCCTGCAGCTGGTGGTGGAGATTAACTGATGGTGGGTTCATGTCTATGTCTCCTCAGTTGCTGCTAAGATGGGGGGGTGTATGGGTCATGTGTTCTGTGGTCGCCCACGGCAGTGACTTCCCTCCACCTCAAACTCTGAGAGCAGACTCACAGTCTACAGCGCAGCCTGTTCACCGGCAGGGAGGTTGACATTCCCTTGCAAGAGGGGAAAACGTTCATTCCTGTGACCATCTGGTCTGTGGTCACTGAGGGTCCTGCCTAAAAATAACAGGGTACATTAGTCAGGATTAGATTTGTCTGTAAGTCATAGGAAAAGCCAAATAACAAGAGTTTATACAAGATGGAAGTTTATTTCTCTGTCCCTATCCAAGCTTAGTGCTTTGTAGATCATGCTGGACACTTGGTGGCTCTACTCCATGGTTTCCCTCAGGATCTTGGATGGCCACCGTTCCTAAATTGCTGTTTCACAAGCTCTAGCTAGGTTCAACATGGCTGCAAAATGTCTACTGTCACATCTGTGTCCCAGGCCACAGGATGGAAGAAATGAGGAAAAGCTCTCATATGGAAGGATTCTGGACCTTGACATGTTAAGTTGTCCCTTATGTTCTGTTAGCTAGAATTTAGTCACATGGCACAAGTATCTAAAGATCTTGGTCCTCTATAGCATTGTGCTTAGGTAGTCATCTCTGCCTTTCCTGGGGGAAGGAAGGCATTCTGGGTATTCAAAAATAATTTGAAAATATTATTTATTAATTAGAGGGAGTGAGAGAGCTGGAGTGCAAGAGAGTAAGGGGAAAAGAGGGGGGGCAGGAACAACAGAACACAGAAAGCATACCCATGGAGGTCAAAAGACAACTAGGAGTAGGTTTTCTCCTTTACTGTGTGGATTCCAGGGCTCAAACTCTGGTCTTCAGACATGGCAACAGGTGCCTTTATCCATTGGCCCCAACTGTAGACATTTTGGCCAAAGTTAAGGATGATTTTAGGCTGAGAATCTGAGTGAGAGCCTCAGGCTGTGCAGGATCTTCCACAGTTTCCTAGGTAGGTCAGTCTTGCTTTTGAGGACTAGAAAGCCACATTCCCTCATGGCCCAGACATGTTCTCTGGTAGAGCCTTTTAAGTGGACATGCTGAGTCTCAACAAATACGTAAGTATCAATCAAACAAACAAAATGATGGAACTGTTTTTTGAAGTCACCACAGGACTTCACTTGGCCAGCTGTGTGAGGGCCTGGGAATTCCAGGGCCTTGATTATTTATTTAGTCTTTGAAAATCTGTCACTGAAGATGAGTGAGCCCTGTCATCTTGTGTCCTTGTTTGGATGCAAACATGTCCTCACATCTGTCTCTTGCTCATCTTCAAGTTTTTTTGTGTATGTAAACTTCATACAGTGCCTCTTTGGTGGGTCAGGATTAAACAGGATAATACATGACAAATTCCTGGCTGTCAGGAGATCTACCTATTGGAACCCCTCCTCCGTGGGCTTCTGCTGCTCTACTGTCCCAGAAACAATGGTGCCAATGCACCATTGACCGAAACCACTGGACCTGTAGAACAGAATGAACCTGTCCCTTGTGTCAGTTGATTACCCCAGGTATTTTGTTATCCTAACACACAGCAGGTTGTTTACATACCTATGCCAGTGAGCTCCCTAAACAGCCTTGTTTCATGCCCACCGTCTAATTCTCCACCTCCAGGATATCCCACAGGAGCCTAAGCGCCTCAGAAGCCCACTCATAGCACTGCCATGCTGACCATTGTTATCAAGAGTGCTATAATTATCAGTATCACGACCTTAGCAACTTTCAGACCCTCTGAGTCATTGTGTGATAGTACGTCTACACAATTTTAAAGGCCTGTTCAGTTTTTAAAGGATGCTGCCCACCCTAGTGCTTGTTCTGCCAGCTGTGCACATCTGTATTGTCTGCTGACTGTCCTTGCAGGCTAGCAGCCGGGGCCTGTCATTGTCTATGAGCCCAAAGCAAGAAGGCATAGAGGCAAAGGGTGGGCGGGGTAGAGCCTGTCCTGTGGGAATGGGCCTGGGCCTGGCCTGTGGCAGCTGTGGCCAGCAGTGGATTCATGCCCGTTTCCCTCTTTTCCTATGTGTTCCTTTCTTGGAGCTGTTTCCACTCACATTCCTTTGGCCCAGGCTGCTGGGAGGAGGCCTGGGAAACTTTAGCCTGAAGCCCGGCAGCTGGAGAGGATGGTGAAGAAGAGAGAGTGCTCTCTCTGTGGTCTATCAGTTGGGGTTCACTGAGAAACTCCGCTTTGTGAGCTACCTGCTTTCCTATTTGGGAATATAAAGGTTCATTCTGTGTACCTTTCAGGGGTAGGGGAACCAAGCAGTGTATTGAGAGCCAGGGAGATGGGCTCTTATGTACAGGTGTGGGGCGTTCACCAGGAGTTTTCAAGGATGCTGAGGCTAAAGAAAAGAGGGGGCCTTTTCTGTATGGGACAGGAACTGTCAGCAGCTGGAGAAAGTTCTAGAAGGGCAGAGGAGATGGGCAGTTTCTCTCTTGAGTCTCCAGGACAAGAGATAGCTCTGGGGAAGGATCCCCTGTTTGCAGTGTTGGGGAACACAGGGAGAGTCTATGGCGTTGTGAGCTCTAAGTCAGGTCTAGGGACCGCGGACTGACTTGCTTGCCTTTGTGCTGACCCCATCACTCCACTGCTCACATCTCTGGGTGTCACTGCAGTGATTAGAGGAGGTTGGTGTGGAGCAGAGGAGTGGGAGTGTGTGCTCAGGAACAAACAATACTCATGATTTGCAGCTGGGAGAGTTGCCATGTTTAGGGAATACAGTGGGCTATCTCCAAGTGTAAAAGGGTGTGGGGAGCTAAAGGATGCCCCCCATTCATAGCAATATCTATTCTATATGTGGTGCTTGTGGCCACAGAGTTCCTAGAAACTCCCATGATCCCCTCTGCCATGTCTACCACTCTCTGTGGGACACTCAACCTGCCTCACGCCAACTTCCAGCTCTTCAACTGTAGCCCTTGGACTTTAACCTCAGGCTGGCAAGACCTGTTTTCTTTGAATCCACGGTGCGCTTTCTGTGGGTGAGGAAGCTCCGCCCCAAATCCCAAAGACCGATGATGCTGACCAAATGTTGGTGTTGGGTTCTGTGGCCGCCACTCTCTTTGAACACTTCATCTGATGGAAGCTCTCCTAGCTGGGATGTCTCTGGACTCGTTCTAGGAAACTCATGGGTAGAATGTCTCCCTGTGTGCCTGCCTGCCTTAGCAGAATGACACAGAAGAGATGAGCAAGGCTTCGGTGCAAGGGGCACATGTGGACCCATTCCCATCGAAGCCCTCTCTACCCATCTTCATCTCCTACTCTCTGAGCCTAGAAGTCCTGAAGCACCATCATCTCTGTGGGCAGCTATCCTTTCCTGACTGTACCTCTATGGCTGAGCTGCATCTCAGCCTTTCTTCTTCTCTGTAGACCAGGCTGGCCTCGAACTCACAGAGATCCACTTGCCTCTGCCTCCCGAGTGTTGGGATTAAAGGTGGGCACCACCACCCGGTTACCTTCTTTTTTTAAAAAATTATTTTCCTGAACATGTTCATATTCTTTTTAAATTTTGTTTTTATGTGTATGGGTACTTTGCCCTCTGAACTGTGTGCCCTCTTACCTGCAGGTCTGGGGTCCTGAGGCCGCTGGCAGACTATGGGTACAACGGCAAGCACGGCACAGCAGACAGTTTCAGCTGGCACCTCCTTAGAGGGCCTGCAAGGTAGCAGCACCATGGATGGCAGGCAGGCACTCAGTGTGCACTCCTTCCACACCACAAGCTTGCACAACAGCAAGGCAAAGTCCATCATCCCCAATAAGGTGGCCCCTGTTGTGATTACGTGAGTACTGGGGGACATGTTATCATGTTCCTGGAAAACATGGCCTTGGGGTTGGGGGGCAGACCTGAGTACACTTAATGCTTCCAGTTTGCTTCCAGTTTTGTAGATAAAACACCAAGTCTCACCCAGAGAGGTTCATCAGTATTTCTGGAACCACACAGCAAACAGGTATTAGGGCAGAATCTCCAGATCTGTGTTGTTTACCCATGCCAGAAGCCTTGGGAAGGAAGATTGGCCAAAGGGACATCCTTTTTATACCCCCTCCTTTTTTTTTATTTTAAAGACAGGGTCTCACTATGTAGTTAGTCTGAGCTGGCCTAGGACTTGCCGTGTAGATCAGGCTGTCCTTTATGGCAGAGATCCACCTGCCTCTGCCTCCCGAGCGCTGGGATTAATGGTGTGCACCATGATGCCCCGCAGTTGCTGTTTTTTTCCTCCAGAGTCTTGGGCTGGAAAGTTGGGAGCTCCTCCTCTGTGTTCCAGCTGGGGCCTCAGAAAAGCTGAGTGGGAGGTAGAGGTTCGCTCTTGTCAGTGTGTTTTCAGAAGCCTGGACACAGAAGCATACAGGATGTCTGGGGAGGGTGGACATCTGTGTGTGGATGAAAGAATGGTGCTTCTGAGAGCTAGAGACAGGAGAGTGCAAGAGACCCTGGGTCTGTCTCCTGGGGAGCCGGGAGCCTTGTTCTTCTCATCACACCTGAACATCATGCTCCATCTCTGGACCTTTCTGGAATGCAGGGAGAAGGACACAGGGCTCTAAGAATTAAACTTGTTCCACACACAGAGATGGCAGAGACCTGGGAGGTGGGGAAGCCTATGGGTGGAGTGATCAGGCTGCTAGCTCTGGGGTGTGGCAGGAAAGCCGAAATTACCATAAATTACTGTGCTTGGGATGAAGGCACAAGAGAAATGACATGCAAAAGTGACTTGATAGACAGTGAAAGTTAGTTTGTGTTGCTGGGCGGTGTAATGGCTGGCAGTGTAATGGAGTGCATACACCTTAATCCCAGAATTTGGAGGCAGAGGCAAGTGTATCTCTGTAAATTCAAGGCCAGATTGGTCAACATTGTTCATTCCAACACAGCCAGGGCTGCTACATAGTGAGACCCTGTCTCAAAGAAAGGAGGGAAGGAAGGAAGAAAGGGAGGCAGTTTGGATGTTGAAGGTGGTTTTGGGGAAAGCAGGTGTGGAGCCTGGGCTCTGCCTTCCTGTTCTTTCTCTGGACCTCAGTTTCCTCATCAAGATAAGCAGAGATGACAGGGGAAATGTAGAACTGGTATATTGTGGCTCAGACAATTACTGGCTACCTGAAAATGTCCAGCAGGAGTGGGTCTTGCTTGCAGCCCTCCTTGTGTTACAGAGTGTTTGAAGTGGAAGGGACCTTACAGATCATTCCAGTTGAGGCACCAGCTTACTGCATCCTGCAGGCCAAATCTGGCCCACCACCTGCTGATGTTAATAAAGTCCATCCACTTTTACATCACCTGTAGACACCTAGTGCTTCAGTAGCAGAATTGTCAGACTGTAGCAGAGCCTACATGACCCACAAAGCCAGAAATGTTTGGCTTTGGGCCTTTGCAGGAAAGGTTTGCAGAGCCCTGATCACGGCAGATAGATGTGAAAACTGAGATAGAAACGTGAGTTTCAGGGAGGCAGAGGGTGGGACACTATAAAGTGTTACCAAGGTAGAGGCAGAGCAGCAACCAGGCCCCAGGCTTACGCAGCTGCCCTCTATCTCACCCATTCACCCACTGCTTTCTTGCAGGCAGCTGTTTTGTATGGAGCCCCAACATGAGACTTGAGCTCTGACAGGCAGGTCTCACGCACTAGTACAGTGACAGCATGGCTGTGTGTCTTGAGCACAGTCATTCTGCTTCAGTCATTGTGCCTTTACCTGGCTTACTGTCTACAGAAATCATCACGAGCTGCTTTAAACAGCTGGTGTGTGGTCAGGCCTCTTGTGAGTGATAATTAGGTCCTAGGAATTGGAACACCTGAAAACGCAAATGTAGGGACTCACCCTTTGATCTTGCGGGCTGAACTGCCCTCGACTCTAGGATTGGAAGTGTAGGGACTATTCCAGTCACAGCCTGAGGGGTGGACCATCCAGTCAGTGTCAATGCCTTAGAGTCCAGGTTAAACTACCATAATAAAGTAGTGTCTATATAGGATTCTTGAATCAAGACAGATACTCACCTCTCATTTCGCTTTCCAGGCTGGTATGGCAGACCCTGACCATCCAGGCTCCCCCAAATGTCTTACCATAATTCCATCAGCATGTGCCTCTGTCTTTTGAGACAAGTGTTTCTCTTCTGCCAGGGAAAACAAGCAAAAGACACATTAGAAGGCATCCGCCTTTGGGAGTGGCCCAGAATTTGCCCCACCTCACTCCCTGGCATCACATTGGCCAGAACTTAATCACAGGACCACAGCTAGCTGCAAGGGAGGCTGAGAAATGTAGTCTGCAATGGGGGTAGCCCCAGGTCTCAGTCTCAGCTCTGGTGTTCTGTGTATGAGGGTGAAGGAACAGCTGCATGGGTAGGGGTGAGATGGCTTTGCTGTGGGTTCTGGTGATTGTAAGGGACCAACAAAGGTTGTCTGACTCAGTTTTCACTGTGCCCATGGCAGGTACAACTGTAAGGAGGAGTTCCAGATTCACGATGAGTTGCTCAAGGCTCATTACAGGATGGGCAGGCTCTCAGATGCTACCCCTGAGCACTACTTAGTGCAGGTGAGGACAGCCTCCCCACCCCACCCCACCCCACCCTCCTCTCTGCTTCTCCATGTCCACCTCCTTTCACTCTGTCTCTGAGTCCTTCTTTGGAACTCAGGGCATTCCACTACGGAGCCATGCCCCAGTCCCTCACTGGTGGTTCTGGACAAGCATTCTAACTCTGATTACTGTTTGGTATTTGTCTCATGAAGAGCAGCGAGAGCAGTGTAGGAATGACTAGACACTGGATGACTGTCTGTCTGTCTGTCTGTCTGTCTGTCTGTCTGTCTGTCTGTGTGATGATCATTGTGGGAGTTTCTGGCTTGTCTGGGAGTACAGGTCTCACTCCTCATCTGCCAGGCAGGGGTCACAGGAGATGACCCAGGAATGAACTCTTGATCAGCCAGTAGTCTGGTTTTTTCTCTGTGGTCACTGTGTATCAATTCACTTAAGTCTTGGAGCTAGTGGGGCTCCAGGGAGGAGCCCACCTAGTTATTGTCTGGCTCAATCCAGACATGACCCTCTTTCTGCGAGCCTTGGTTCAGAGCTCAGGGTGTCCCATTGTCCTCCAGGGGAGCTGCAGACCCTCTTTGGAGTAAGTGTTGGCTTGCAGTTCCAATCTCTGGCTGGCCCCAAGGCCACCTTCTATATGAAGTCTTCTTTATTTTCCTGAACCAAACACCACTGCTGTCACAGACACCTGTCGCATGAACCTGCAAGTAACTTGAGGGCAGGACCATGTCCCCACCCCCATCCCATTCTCCCTCCCTGCTCCCTGGAGCCCAGAGTTCTACCCGCGGAGAAACCCTTGCATCTCTAATTGATCTGCTGTGATTCTCTCTGCCAGGGCCGCTATTTCCTGGTGCGTGATGTCACCGAGAAAATGGACATGCTGGGCACCTTGGGGAGCTGTGGGGCTCCCAACTTCCGGCAGGTGCGGGGCGGACTCCCTGTGTTTGGCATGGGACAGCCCAGCCTCTTTGGATTTAGGAAGGTCCTGCAGAAACTCCAGAAGGATGGGCACAAGGTAAGCTTGCTATGTCTCAGGCTGTCTTTAGATAGCTCTGGAGTGGCTCACCTGGGGCTAAGGAAGGGAGTGTGACCTTGGCTAGGCCTCTAACTTCGGGTAGAAACTGTAGAGTATTTATTGCATTGTCCTGTTGGGGGCAGGGGAGGGGGAGTGTCAGAAACCTCTTGTGCGCCCACTCTTGAGAGCCTTGGAGGAAGTGAGAGGTGACAAGGGAGCCACTTTCCAACTTCAGAGACTGCCACATGATGGTCTTGGCTGACACCTAAATCTGTCAACTCTATGAGGAAGGGCCCCATTTTACAGAGTAGGAAACTGATATCCTGAGAGGGAAAGTGGCTTGTTCAAGGTCACACAGCTCCCATGTGGTGCCTGAGGGCTCAGACTCAGGCAATTAGACTCCAAGTACCTGATTTCAAATAACTTTCTCTCACCTGCCTGAAGGAGGTGGGGGTAAGGCCAAAGGGTTGGTGTGGTCCAGGTTCCTCAACCGTGGCAGTGATTGTATTGGCCTGGGATGAGGTTGAGTGGCAGAGCAACCAAGAATCGAGTGGGGGCTGTGTGAAGGTCCTGTCTTCCCATCTTGATCCTAGCTTAGCTCCCTCTGCTGTAGCTCAGCCAGCGGCTGACTGCTTGGTGAAGAGGCTAATCTAGCCTTTTTTAGCTCGTCTTTATCAGGCAACTGATTTCCTATAATACACTAGGTATTATAGACCATGGAAAGGACCAGAGTGTGATTCTGTCTGGGTGATGTGCAGTCCACTCAGAGAGAAGACAGGCCTACTGACATGTTAACAGATTAAAATGCAACAGAACTTGCCTTGAAGAGAGGAGAATGTATTCCTGCTGATTGAGGAGAGTTGGGGGGCGGGTAGCAGTTAGATGGAACTTCAGTTTCTTTAGGATTCCTGTTGAAGGGATTGACTGGTCCAGTGCTTCGCCCCGGATGAGGGAGGAACTATCTGTGCAAAGGCCTAGAGGTTGGACAGGATATGGGTGTCCATGCAACACAGGGGCAATGGCTTCTCTTTGACAGGAGTGTATCATCTTCTGTGTGCGGGAGGAGCCTGTGCTGTTCTTGCGTGCTGAGGAGGACTTCGTCTCCTACACACCTCGAGACAGAGAGAGCCTTCATGAGAACCTCAGGAGCCCTGGGCCAGGGATCAAGGCTGAGAGCCTGGAGCTGGCCATCCAGAAAGAGGTGAGGGCCTGTGGGGTGGCGATGTGATGAGAGAACTTCTTCCTAGCTGGCCTCATGTCTGAGCAGACGCTCCAGTCTGCTCTCCAGACATGCCCCTGAAGCCATTCTGGGTGTGGGAGCTGCTCGGCCTTCACTGGCACATACTCCCCTGCCCTGCTTGGGTGGGTGGTTGGCTGCACAGTTGACCTCTTGTTCCAAGCTGGCCTATTTCTGTCCCTCTCTCACCATGTTTCTCCTTCACTCCCCAGTCCTGGGTTAGGGAGGGGTCTGGTCTGGTGAGAAGAGATTTAGCGTAGGATGCTCATGGCTGAAGTTCGGCTATGCACTGGTCATGTGGGGCCCTAAGGAGGCGTTTGCTGGGCCTGTCTCAGATTCTGGGGTGTCCTCTTCTCTCCAGTGGCACAGAGGCTTGGTGGGGGCTCTGAGACTGCTGACATACCACAGAGGTACATGAGTGGGTTGTGGGGGGGGGGGTTGCAGAGATAGATGTTTGTGGGGAAGTCCAGACCCTGCTGTGGGGACCAGCCTCTTACATCTGCTTCAACTGGCCGAGCCTCACCCGTCCTGGGATTCAGGTGGCTTCATGCATTTCCACTGCCCCCTCTGGTTGACCTCTGTGGAGGTCATGGTCAGTCCATGCAGGTCTGGCTGCCCTCAGGCTTGACCTCTGTAGGCAGGGCAGAGTACCTCTGGCCATGTGGCTCCCTCTTGAAGGAAAAGAAGCTTGTGTGTGGCCTCTGTGGGGCCTGCTCAATCAGGGAGCCCAGGCCTTGTCCCTCTGACTCTTGCATCTCACTCTAGATCCACGATTTTGCCCAGCTGAAAGAGAACACGTACCACGTGTATCACAACACGGAGGACCTGCGTGGGGAGCCGCACGCCGTGGCCATCCGAGGTGAGGATGATGTGCACGTGACCGAGGAGGTGTATAAGCGGCCGCTCTTCCTTCAGCCCACCTACAGGTACCTGGAGCTGATGTCCTGTCTGGGCTGGCTCTCCAGCTGCTACCTCAGTGCCTCACCTGCACATCAGGCCTGTGCCTGGGGATAAGGGATGCTGCTGCTCAGGGCCGTTGCCAGGCTCATGGGATGTTCTCTTCTCCTGGCAGGTATCACCGTCTTCCCCTACCAGAGCAAGGGGCCCCCTTGGAATCCCAGTTTGATGCCTTTGTCAGTGTCCTCCGGGTAAGTGGGACTGAGGGGAGTTCTGGGAGTGGTAGGTAGGAACAGGTGCCATTCATTGGTCTCTATGGAGACGTCTAGGATAGTGTGATCTCAGGCTATTTCTATGGAAGGTTTGATCTATAATGTGTATATATAGGTATGTTGGGGTGTGGAGTGGTGTCTATGCCCTTATGTGTGCATATATGTAAGCTTCTGCAGTGTGTGTACATGTATCTGTGTGTGCACAGGTGCACCTGAGTATACATGTTACGATTCTCTAATGCTGGAGGACCCGGTTCTAGCTGTGGCTTGACTGCACACTCACTGTGTGGTGTTGGAGGCTGTTCCTCCTCTCTAGATGTCTCCTTCCTTCAGTCAAGCTTGTCCCACAGGCTTGTTTGCTGATATTTACTGGGGGTGGGGGTGGGGCTTCTGTCCCAACCCATTTTTGGGATAGTGCCTTAATTTGTATTGCATGGGGAGGGGCATCAGGTCAGTGTAGGGCCTGGGACCCTGTGAGTAGCTCCTATTCTGGACCCCAGGAGATTCCTGGCCTGTTCTCTGAGTTCCCCTGAGGCTAGGCAGGGGCAGGACCTGAGGCCCTGGGATCAGATGGATCAGATCTGGCTGTGGGTTTGACATCAGAGGCTGTGCTACTTTTCTGACCCTAGCTTGTTGCAGATGTCATGAGCTTGACTGGGGTTTCAGCCTCATCGTTTTCCCATCACACTCTTGCATGATAATCATTCATGTTCCCTCCTGCAGGAGACCCCCAGCCTTCTGCGTCTCCGTGATAACCATGGTCTTCCCCCTGCCCTCCTGTTCAGCTGCCAGTCAGGTGTGGGCAGGACCAATGTGGGCATGGCCCTGGGTACTCTCGTGCTGTTCCACTACCGTAGAATCACCTCCCAGCCAGAGTGAGTGGCAGGGGTCCAGCCAGGCAAGGGGTTGGAAGGACCGGAGAGGAAAGGGTAAAGCCACCTCCAGGATGATGGGCCACATCCAGAAGGCTGGGCATCATTGCCTCATTTGCTACAGATTTGCTTGGTGCCCTGGAGAGGCACTGGGCCCTTCTGAGCCTTCATTCCCCCAATGAAATTCAGAAGGAGCCTGCAATCTGATGCTTCCCAGTGGCCGAGGGGTGCCAGAGGGCTGCGTGGCTGCCTCTCATCACACTCCTGACTCTCACCTTGTCAGGGCTGCCTCCTTGCTGACCAAACTCCTGCCCATGGAGCAGTTTCAGGTCATCCAAGGCTTCATCCGCATGGTACCCCAGGGGAAGAAGATGGTAGAAGAGGTGAGTGAGGGGCTGGGCCAGGTCACTGGGAGTGGGCAGCAGTTGCTCCTGTCGCTGGTGTGTGTGTGTGTGTGTGTGTGCGCGCGCGCGCGCACGTGTGTATGTCTGTGTGTCTCTCTGTGTGTGGAGAGCTCTCCTCCTCCCTCACACTGTTTCTCTCTGACAGTCCTCTCCCATTCTCTGTCTCCTGTTCCGGCCCTAGGTGGATCAAGCTGTCACTGCCTGTGCAGAGTTACATGACTTGAAGGAAGAGGTTCTAAAGAACCAGAGGAAGCTGGATAGCATCAAGCCAGAGAGCCCAGTGCAGGTGAGATCAGGAGGAGCATCCTGCACTCTGCCTGGGACTGGGATTTTTCAGCCTGATTGTTCCTGGATGCTGCTTCTCTGTTAGTTTCTGGAGGGGGTGGGGTGGGCAGCTGGAAGGATGAGGAAGAGGAAGTTTATTTTTTCTGAGCAGGTCTCTTGGCTGCAGAGTAAACGGCATGGATAGAGAAGCCTGCTGAGACCTCTGGATGCAGACAGATTCCCAGTTCATCACATTAGTCAGCTTCACATTAGGGTGATGAAGAACCTGAAGCTAAGACAGTTAGCTCGTAAAAAGGAAAGGCTAGCCAGGGCTGGTGCAGGCTTGTAATCCCCACACTGCTGCTGAGGCAGGGGTGGGGGTACTGAGTTCAAGGGCAGCCTGGGCTGCATGGTGTGTTTCAGGTCAGCAAAGAGAGAAGGGGTAGGGAGAAGGAGGGGGGGAGGGAGGGGAAAGAAAGAGAGGAGAGGGGAAGAGAGAAGAAAGAAGAGGAGAGGAGCGAGGTCACCCATAGCTCATTAGCTCTGCTCTTCTGGCTGGCACATTATGGTGGGACAGGACTTCTCACATCATGGCCAGGGGACAAAAAGATAAGAAGAGGCAGCCAACATCCTGCAGTCCCCTTTTAGAGCACATCTCCAATGGCCTAAAGTGCTCCTGCTAGGCTCTGCCCCTTAAGGAACCCCTCACCTTCCCTCAGTGTCACCCCAGGACCCAGTCTTTAATTCAGGGGCCTCTGGGAGGGTCTCTGGGGATTCATTCAGGCTCTTCCTACAAAGGAAGCATCTGGGGCTTCCCTGGGAAGAGCAGGCTGTGTTCATCCCACAGCTTCAGGAGGAGTGCTGAGCTGGCTCACAGCCCCTGTCCCTAGCTCCAGGGGGAAGAGGGGGCCGACAAGTGTTTGTGTACAGTGTACGGAAAGAATCTAAGCCCTTACAACCTTTTCTTTCTTTAATACTTAAAAAAAAAAAAAAAAAAAAGTCCTTGAGAGCTGTGGGAAAACTGAGAAATCAGAACCATGAGAAGTGATGGTACTTCACACTGGCAGCTGCCCAGGCATGCTTTTTAACTGTGTGTTTGTTTGTTTGTTTGTTCATTTGTTTGTGATTCTCTGTATAGCTGCCCACGCTTCTGGCTTTAATGTGAATACTTGGATTTTGTCATTGAGATTTTTAATGGCTGTTTCTTAAACTCATGGCCAGGTCAACCCCCATTGGCCTAATGAGTCAGAATGGGGGGGCTCCCGGTCCAGTTACCTGGTTGTAGTCCTAGTGTCACTTACAAAGATGGGGACTTGGGCATGTGCTGTGTGCCTTCATCGCCCCATTTGTGAAATGGGGCAAGTGATGATAAGTAACTGGTAGGACTGTGGGGTCATGTGAGGAAAGAGGGGAAAGAGGGCTGAGTGTCACCTGCTACTGTCACCGTAGACTCTTGAGCTGTATCAGGACCCCATCCTGTAATTGCTTTTGTCTGGAGCGGCTTCATCTCGCCTTAACATTATCTGAATCCCCCTTTTGCAGCTGCAGTGGGGGTGTCAGAGCCCAGCGTTATGTCCTAGTCTGGACCAGGGGTCAGGGACCATCAGAGCATGGCACAGGGCCCAGGGCTCATGCTCCATCTTTGTTTCCCTGGGCAACTCATGGTTGACTTACCTGTCATTGGCAGAGCTATCATGCTGCCATGGCAACATGGAAGGTGTGACTGAGACTGTGGCTGCCCCCAACATCTAGCATACTCACTCTCTAGCTTTCTGTAGAAAAGGCTTCGTAGCCCCTGACCTGGCTGGAGAACTGTGGGGTTAAGGGGTGGGACTCATGGGCTTTCTCGGATACCCCAGTGCTTGGAGGAGGTGCAGCTGGGTTAGTGGAGACAGGTCCTGTCAGCTGGATGACTTGCAGGAAGCTGCTCTGTTACTCAGAACTCCTATTTTCTCTCTATGAATTAGGGATAGCAATAGGACCCTAGACATGAGAGAGAGACAGAGAGACAGACACACACATACAGAGACAGAGACAGTTCTTGATTCTTGTTTTTGAGACAGGGTTTCTCTCTGTAGCTCTGGCTGTCCTGGAACTCGCTCTGCTCTGTAAACCAAGGTGGTCTTGAACTCACAGAGATCCTCCTGCCTCTGCGTCCCAAATGTTGAGACTAAAGGCGTGTGTCACTGCTGCTTGGTTTCTAAAGGAGGGCCTCCCTCAAGAAAGGGAAAGGAAATGGAACATGACATGGGGATTCGTCGGCCAGTTGTCCCCTCCTCACTCTTGTTCCCTGTCCCAGGGCTGGGGACTGGCCTGCAGAGGCAGCATCTGCACCAGAGCCACCCTTGTCCAATGTGGTCACCACAGAGTTCTGTACTATGACGAATGGGATAGACGCTCGGAAGGATTTCCAGCCTGGCAGAACTGTCATGGAGCTCCAGAGTGCCTTCAGGGATTTTCTACTCTTCTACTCACAGCTAGGGGGCAGCCCCATGTTTAACACCTCATTTCTCCTTTCCCCTTCCTGTCCCTAGGGAAGTGGTAGCCAACATGCTGTCCAGCAGAGGGCACTGTGGAGCCTGGAGCTGTACTTCTACCTGATCCTATTTAACTACTATCTGCATGAGCAGGTCGGTCTGAGGGAGCAAAGTGCACCCAGCCCAGCAACAGGGACTCCCGGGATGGGGAATAGGGTGGCATTGTGTGTGTTGGACCCTGAGGAGGGTTGGGAGGGGCAAGAAGGGATCCAGATGACTGTTGATTCTCCCCCACCCCCCTCTCCCCTTTCCCTTTTGGTCTGGGCAGCAAACACCCTGGTCCTCCCTCACCTACTTGTTTCCCCCTAGACCTTTTGGGGCCCCCTTTTTGTGGCTAGGCAAGGAGGGCTCAAGGTGTCCCCACACTCTCAATGCCCCGTCTCTCTTGGCCTCGGGCTGCAGTACCCCCTGGCCTTTGCCCTCAGTTTCAGTCGATGGCTGTGTACCCACCCTGAGCTGTACCGTCTGCCCGTGATGCTGAGTTCAGTGGGGCCCGTGGCTCCAGGGGACCTCATCGCCAAAGGCTCCCTGGTGAGTGGCTGTGTACTGTGGAGTGGGCTGGGCTGAGGAGGTATAGATTCCTATAGGGATGGAGAAGTATTGCCAGGGGCCTCATAGGCTTCTCTGAATTAACTGTACATGTTCAGGCACCATGTTCTGGCACCTTCTCCTTAATCCCAGCTGGAGCTCTCTGGAGGGTGTGTGTCACCGCATCCCTGCCAGGACACCAGTAAGGCTGCAGCCATGTATGCCCTGTACCCAGTAGGGCATTGTTGCTACCCCACACTTGCCCACTGAGGCTGGATATGGTTGGTGACTATGAACTTCAGGCGTGGTGTTCTCCCCACAGGAAGCAGATGATCTTGTTTCTCCAGACGAGCTCAGCACCGTCAGAGAGATGGATGTAGCCAACTTCCGGCGTGTGCCTCGCATGCCTATCTATGGTACCGCCCAGCCCAGTGCCAAGGTGCCTGCCACTCCCAGGCCCAGGTCCAAACATGGGGACAGGGGAAAGGCTAGCCCTGGCCCTGACAAGCTCTCGTCCCCCAGGCCCTAGGCAGCATCCTGTCCTACCTGTCTGATACCAAGAGGAAGCTACAACAGGTGGTCTGGATCAACCTGAGGGAGGAGGTTGTACTGGAGTGTGATGGTCACATATACAGCCTATGGCCACCGGGACCACCCCTGACCCCTGAGCAGCTGGAGGTAAGGTTTCTGGCTTTTTGCATGGTCTGCATGGGAGGCACTTGGAACAGAAGGAGGGTGAGGGAGTGAGCCAGAAGACCCCACACTCCTCCTGTGTGAATGGAGAAGCTGGAGTTCAGGAGGGAATGATTTAGACTATTCTAGGTCTCTTCCTGTGTTCCCATGTCCCCGTATTCCTGTGGCTTTCCCGCCTCTGGGGTGGTTCTGACCTGAGGTTAGGGCTGGGAAGCCAGTACTAGTCATGGCTCCAGCAGGCTCCTGCCTCTCAGGCCTGTCTCAGTGGCTTCTGCCCTCTGTCCTGCTTCTGTCCAGGCCCTGGAGGCACAGCTGAAGGCCCACCTGAGTGCTCCTGCCCCTGACATGAAGAAAAACCCTACTGCTCCCAGGTTCCAGAAGTGTCTGACCACCCAGGAGGTCTTCAGCCAGCACCAGGGGACCTGCCTGGGCCTTACCTACCATCGTATTCCTGTGCCAGACTTCTGTGCCCCTCCGGAGGAGGTAAGGGGCCTGGCCTCTGGGGACCAAGATCTCTTTTCCTCTTGCTAGGCCTGGGAAAAGCAGCTCAACTCCATAATGCAGCCAGGGATTGTCTGATGGGGTCCATATGTGACCTCAGAAGCATGTTCCTCCCTCCCCCCCCTCTGTGTGTGTGTGTGTGTGTGTGTGTGTGTGTGTGTGTGTGTGTGTGTGATGTGTTGTAGGCATGTATACTGTACTGTATGTTTATGTTTCAGGGAAGAGAGCGTGCTCATATGTCTGCTGGAGGGATATGATGCATGGTGCCCTGGTGGTGTGGGGTGTAGGTTCTCATGGGGCTCATGGCATCTGTCTTGTGTTTGTGGGCTGTGGGTAGATGGTACATCCATGGGAGGGGTGGGCGTGTGTGCTCATGGAGAAAACTCTGTGGAATCTGACTAAGTGGTGTTCATGTGGTAGCTGACAGATGTATGTTTGTAGCCGGCTGTGTGGTTTGTCTTTCAGGTACTGGTACATCTGTGGGCTGGGTATACCTGATATGTGTGGCCTGTGGATGTTGCTGTGATAGTTTCAGGGCTATTTGCTTTTGCCTGGCTCTCTGTGGGCTCACAGCCCGTGGAGTGCTGCCCCCTGGAGGCTGCTCTCCCAAGTGTTTGGATGAGCTCAGGCAGGACCTGGTTCTCAGGCAGGGCCTGGGCATCAGGCTAGAAAACATCTGTGCATGATCTGCCAGGTGGAGGGCTGGCATATTGAGTCCCAGAAGTGTGTTGTATCTGCTCATGTGCCCAATCTTGGGTGCCTGGGATGGGAGATACACAAGAATGCAGCTTTTCACACACACGTGGGCTTGTGTATAAACATAGTGAGCTCTGTGTGTGTACATGGACAAGGTTATGTGTATGACGGGGCACATGGGAATATAAAACTGGGGTTACCATTTGGATGGGGGTCCCCAGTGTGAGTCTGGGCTTCCAGTGACACCCCTGGACCCAGACTCTGGTCTTGTCACCTCAGGACTTTGACCGGCTGTTTGAGGCCCTGCGGGCTGCTCTCACCAAGGACCCAGGCACAGGCTTTGTCTTCAGCTGCCTTAGTGGCCAGGGCCGGACCACAACTGCCATGGTGGTGGCTGTGCTGGCCTGCTGGCACATCGGGGTAGGTGTGGCCTTCTGAGTGAGGTCAGAGATCATCCCAGGCAAGGGTGGGGACTGGCTATGGCTAGTGTGGAGGGGCAGAGGCCATGCCTGATGTCACCCTGGGACCCCTCCCATCAGTCCTGGCAGACCCCCCAGCAGGGCTTCAGGGGATGGGGTAGAAGAGGGAGATGCTCCATCTAGCTCTGTCATCCCTCAGGGCTGCCCTGAGGTGGGCGAGGAGGAACTTGTGAGCGTGCCTGATGCCAAATTCACCAAGGGCGAGTTTCAGGTGGGTATGCCCCTGAGTCCCTGGGAGTTCTATGCAGACTAGAATCTTGGGTCTTGCTGGCAGCTTAGTGGGAATGGGTCTGGCTTTCTGTTTCCCAGATGGACAGACTATGGCTCAGAACAGTTTGACTCGTAAGCCTCTGCAAATGCCCATAGTAGACACGGTCTGGTTTCTCCCCTACCTGGCCAGGGCACTGGGTTCTGCATAGCCTAGTTGATAACTACCTCAGTTTCTTGAGATTCAGCTGTGGTTGGTGCCCCATGCAGGGCTACAACCTACTCCATCCGTCCCCTTGCTTCAGGTCAGGGCCCCTGGGTGGGCAGACATTAACATTTCAGGTCCAGTCATCATAAATCATGCACCTGCCACAAGTCATGGGTCATATCAGACATGTGACACCGTTTTGCACACTTGATCTATATCTGACCAGTGGCTGGCATTACCATTAATTCCTGTCTACCTGGTAACTGTGCCACACGCTTGCCACTTGTCCTACTGGGAGTCCTGTTGCCCTTCTCTCTGTGTGGGAGGTCAAAGCTGCCAATCACATGTGCCTCTAGGCCTTTGGGTGTGCTCCTCTTTAGACAATGTCTTTCTTTTATGATAAATGCTCAGATTCTTTTTTTTTTTCTTAGTGTGACAAAAATATACTAACAGAAATCAAACTTGAAGCCAGTCTGGTCTACATAGCAACTTTCAGGCCAGTTGGAGCTATACAGTGAAACCTTGTTTTGAATAAATAAATAAGTGTAGCTCAGTGGTGGAATGTTTGCCTGGCATGTTCAAGGCCCTGGACTGGATCCCTACCACTGCATTAAATAAATTAGATGCTTGTTAAGCATGTACGGACTCCTGGGTTTAAGCCTAGCATCACAGACCCTGAGTGGGAGTGGTGGCTCATGTCTGTAATCCAGTAAGTCTGAGGACTGCCTGGAACATGTAAAGATCCTGTCTCTTTACATGGGAGTTGGGGGCAGTGGGGGCAGTTACCTACTGGCTCAGTAGGTAAAATGCTTGTACAACAGCTAAAAAGTAAAGAATAAGATGAATCTTTGTAAGGAGCCTCGCCTGTGGTCTTAATATACTCTGAGCATTTCAAACCATTAGTACTTCCTGTGGTTTGCTGGCACCATTTCCCCAGCTCTCCATCATCCTACCTGCTCTCCCATCATCTCCCCTGCTCTCCTATAATCCCCCCCAGCTCTCCCATCATCTCCCCAGCTCTCCATCATCTCCCCAGCTCTCCATCATCTCCCCAGCTCTCCATCATCTCCCCAGCTCTCCATCATCTCCCCAGCTCTCCATCATCTCCCCAGCTCTCCATCATCTCCCCAGCTCTCCATCATCTCCCCAGCTCTCCATCATCTCCCTGGCTCTCTCATCATCTCCCCGGCTCTCCCATCATTCCCCCGGCTCTCCATCATCTCTTCAGCTCTCCATCATCTCCCCAGATCTCCCATCATCTCTCTGGCTCTCCATCATCTCCCTGGCTCTCCTATCATCTCCCCGGCTCTCCTTGTTAGCACTTTATGTTATAGGAGCCTGGCTTTCCCAGTTCTGCTGTTAATGTGCTGTGAAAGACTGAGAATTCGTGTCTGTTTCACCAACAGTGATTGACAGGGCAGGCAAAGGTGACATGAAAGTTCGGAGGTTTAGTACCCACTTTTTTTTTTTTTTTTTTTCAAGACAGGGTTTCTCTGTGGCTTTGGAGCCTGTCCTGGAACTAGCTCTTGTAGACCAGGCTGGCCTCGAACTCACAGAGATTCGCCTGCCTCTGCCTCCTGAGTTCTGGGATTAAAGGCATGCGCCACCAACGCCTGGCAATGCCCACTTTTTAAAAAGATTTCTTTTTCTCTTTTTTTGACAGGGTCTCACTATGTAGTTCTGGCTGTCCTGGAATTCATTCTGTAGACCAGGCTGATCTTGAATTCAGAGATCTGCCTGCCTCTGCCTTCAGAATAGAGTGCAGGGACTAAAGTTGTTTACTACTATACCCAGTAAAAGATTTTATTTTTAATTATGTGTACCTGTGTGTCTCTGTGAGGGTATGTCCACATGAGTGCATGTGCTTGTAGAGGCCAGAAGAGGGCGCTGGATTCCCTGGAACTGGAGTTACAGGCTGTTGTGAGGTATTTGATGCACTAAACTCAGGTCCTCTGCAAGAACAGTCCATGCTCTTAACAGCTGAGCCATCTCTTTACCCTCATATCCTCTTTTAAATAATTATTTTTGTCAACTTTGGGTGTGATCCCATAGGAGCTGTCTACTTGTAGTAATTGTTGTTATTATTATTATTTGAGACAGGGTTTCCCTGGCCTGGGGCTTTCCAGTTCAGCTAAACTGGCTGACTGACAAGCCTTAGGGATCTACCTTCTCTGCTCCCTGCCCTCTGCCATTGCCATAAGTACAGACATGTGCCACTCTGTCCTTTTTCGTAGGTGCTTGGAATAGACTGCTGTTTTTTTTCTCTCTCTCTCTCTCTCTCTTTTCCTGAGACAGGGTTTCTCTATAGCTTTGGAGCCTGTCCAGGAACTAGCTCTGTAGATCAGGCTGGCCTCGAACTCACAGAGATCTGCCTGCCTCTGCCTCCAGAGACTGCCAGTCTTGAGCAGCAAGTACCTTCCCAACTGAATTGTTTCCCCAGGCTCTTGAAGTTCTCGTAAGGCTAGAAAGTCAATGAAATGACCAAAAAAGATGAACATACTCAGCTTCTTAGAATTTTTGATACACACATTAAGAATGGTGGGTGCAGAGCTCATTGTCCAAGCATGGGGACCTGAGTTCCAATAGTAAGACCTATAAAAGCCAGGAGTGGCTATGTGCATGTGCAGAGCCGAGGGAAGAGGAGAGGATCGTGGGGTTTGCTGGAGGCCAGCCTAGGCTTGGGTTTAGTGAGAGACCCTGCGTCAAAGCAATAGGGAGAGAGGGAGCAGAACACTCAGTGTCCTCCAGTGGCCTCTGTGTGTGCACAGGTCCACGTAGCTGTACACACATGCACTCATATACCACATGCATTCACACACACCACACATGCATGCACATTTAACACATACACAGCAAATAATATATGCATTGAAATGTACACATAAAGATCCTCTGAACAACTCACAGAATCTTGCCTATGAATGAAAAGAATATGGAACTGTGACCCAAGCAATCCCACATCGCCTTACTGCCCCAAGCCTGGGGAGCAGGAAGGAGGGCTCCGGGCTGAGGATCCCCCTTGGTTTTCCATCCACTCACCCTTCCTCTGGTCCCAGGTGGTGATGAAGGTGGTCCAGTTGCTACCCGATGGCCACCATGTGAAGAAGGAGGTGGACGCGGCGCTGGACACTGTCAGCGAGACCATGACTCCTATGCACTACCACCTTCGGGAGATCATTATCTGCACCTACCGGCAGGTGAGCCCTGAGCCCCTGGGCTCCTGCTCTGCAGGATGGGCCGTGGCTCACCTGGTGGGGGTGAGGGTGTGGAAGATCGATGGTGCAGGTTTGAAGTGGCAGCAAGTCTAGTGGGCCCTTCTTTTGTTTTAATTCCTTTTGATCACTTTACCACCTCTTAGAAAGGAATGTGGACCTGGAGACAGAAATGTCAGCAGTCCAAGCCACTCCTACCTGATCTGGGATAACTTGCTGTGGGAGGGGCCAAGAGGAACACCTGAGACCCTGTTGGGTGGAGCAGGGTCTGGTGTGTGTTCCTGAGGGCGGCAGTGTGACTGACAGCAGGGATGAAGCTGAGTACTGTAGGGTGCAGCTGCCGCACCCCAGGACAGGTTTGTCTACAACATTTGGGGTCTGGGTCTGGCCCCTATTTAGTGTTTTTTTTTTTTAAATCTGCTTAGTTAAATATTATTTTATTTTCCATATTTTACTTATTTGTGTGCACACAGCATGAGTGTGGGGGTCAGGGACAACTTGTAGGAGCTGGTTCTCTCCTCCCACCATGTAGAGCCTGGGGAACGGTTTTAGGTGGTTAGCCTTTGTGGCAGTTGCCTTTACGCACTGAGCCATATTGCCAGTCCTCACTAAATTATGATAAGGTCATCAGAATAGTTCAGATACTCTGCCCTGGCCCCCCTTCTCTGTCTGTCATAGGACTTGAGGGCTAGGCAGGAGATGGAATTTGCAGCTTCAGTACTCTGGAGGGTGGTCACAAGGTCAGAGATCCCTACTTCTCAGCCTGGTAGCAGGTGGGTAGGGGACAGTGCTGCATGGTACCGAGAGGTGGCAGTATATGCCATGGTGGGGTGATTTTTCAGGGCAGCTTCTGCCTGTGTCTTATAAGAGGAGGCTATGTCAGGCCATTTGTTCAGCCTCAAGCTGGGGAAGCATGACCAGAATGAGTCAGGACAGCCTTGACTTGGGGCCATGGGTTAGACCCTGCCTGGATCAGATGGCTGGCCCCTGTGTGGAGGCAGGCTAGGCGTTTGGGGGTAAGCCTTGGGAAAAGTTCAGACTAAGAAGCTGTCACTCATGGGTAGGAGATGGTGGGTCATGAGATGGTGGGTCATGAGCTTCCAAAGTGGACTTGGCATACTTAGGAGACACAATGTATGTGTGATTAGGCACCCATCTCCAGGTTCCTATGAGTTAGTTACCCTTGTGTCTCGCACTGCCTTAGGGCTTCTATTGTTGTGATGAAACAGGGTGACTGAAAGCAACTTGGGGAGGGCAGGGCTTGTCTTATAGCTTGTAGCCCGTCACCCATGGAAACCAGGGCAGGGCCATGGTGGCAGGAACTGATGCAGAGACCATGGAAGAACGATGTTTACTGTCTTACTCAGCCTGCTTGCTTATACAACTCAGGACCACCTGCTCAGGGGTGGCACCATACACGGGAAGCTGGGCCCTCCCACAGCAATCATGAATCCAGAAAATGCACCAAAGGCTTGCCCACAGGCTGATCTGGTGGGGGCATTTCCTCACTTGAGGTTCCCTCGTCTTAAATGACACTGGCTTATGTCAGGTTGGCAGAAAGCTAGCCAGCACACACTCGCTGCCATTATTCAGAGCCTTCCTCTAGAGCATGAGAGCTGAGGCCTCTAGGTTCTGACAGTGGAAAGGGGGTGCTTAGACCTGCTTCAGAGCATGTGGACCAGGCCCTATTGGAGCCCCCTTCTCTCTATCCCAACTCCAAACCTCACAGGCCCTCGCTTCCTTCGAACTCTACCTGTATGTCCACTGTGAGGACACAGAGAACAGGTAGCATAGGAGAAGCTAGGAATTGGCCTCAAGAGGAGTCAGTGTAGGCCTCCAGGGCCACATGGGCAAAGGCCAGGAGGCCTAAGGGTTCCTAGTGGGTTTGGAGACACTGAAGGCCATTTGGTAGCACAGTGTTGTCAGCAGTGAGGTTGGATGAGTAGCTGGGTTTACTCATGGGGAATGAGAAGGGAAGAAGGTGAGGGACAGACCTGTATTTTTAGGGGCAGTAGCTTAGTCACCTTCACAGTGGAGTATTTAATAGAGGAAGCTGAACAAGTGGGGCCTCTCCCCACCTCCCCACCAAGATGCCCCTCATATTTCCAAGGCCAAGTTTCTGCATGAGATGGAATCCCAGGGTCCCTGCAGAGGCAGGGAGCTAGATGCAGTTATTCACAAGTGTGGCCACCAGGTGGTGCCAGTGAGTTTAGTTAAGGTAAATCCCTCTCCATCGCTTCAGGCTGAACCCAGGGCATCACTGCAAGGTGTGTGTGTGTGTGTGTGTGTGTGTGTGTGTGTGTGTGTGCGCGCGAGCACGTATGATGGGAGGGGTGTGTGACACAGTGAGCATGCGAGGGTTAGAAGTTCTCTCTGTCCATCTTTATGTGGGATCTGGGATTGAACTTGGTTCATTGGGCTTAAATGGCAAATGCTTTTCCTGGCCAAGCCACTTTTCTGGCTCCTTCCCCCTTATGTTGAGGTGGGTCCTTTTGTTTGCTAGATGGCCCTGAGTGTTCAAGGGTTCTCCTGTCCCAACCCCCATCTTGCTGTAGGAATGCTAGGATTATAGGCAAGACCTACTATATCTGGCTTTCTTTGGGTTCTGGTGATTCAAACTCAGGACTTCACACTAGTATGGGGGGGGGGCTGCGACTCTCAGGGGCTTTCACCCTACCTGTGCAGGAGGCAAACGGGGAACTTTTAGCATCTTGTGTCTGAGCTCCCTCCTAGAGTCCCTGGTTTGCTTTATGACCAGTGTGTGAGTGTAGCTTTTAAAATTTGCCAAGGTGAGTCCAGGGAATAGCCAAGGCTGACAGCCACTTATGAGTGGGGGTTGGGGAGTGGGGGAGTCTTGTCTCCTACCTGAGTACCTCAGCTTCCCCTTCAGGCTTGCCAAAGTGCAGGTTTCTGGGGCTGTGCCAGAGTTTCTGGACGTTCCACAGCTCTGAGATGACAGTACTCATGACTCGTAACATGGAGTAACATGGGGCCTGGGCCATGCCAGGGCCCTGCTTGTTGTGACCAAGCTTATGGAGATACAGTTCACATACAGCCCAGTGCAAGCATTTAGAGCAGTCTGGTCCATGGTTAACATTGCAACAGGGAATCTAGAGCATGCTCAGGGCCATAGAAAGAAACCTCAAGCCTTGGCAGTTGGTCCCCAGCCACCAACATCTCCATGTTTCCTGTTGTGTCTTTCTGGATTCACTTGTCTATTTTTACACATCTCATAATAATTGAATGTTTTTGTGTGTGTGTGTGTATTATTATGAATAGTTTTTCCTGCCGGTCTGGTCCCAGGGCCGTGCCAGCCCCAAATAACACACAGAGATACTGTATTAGATATAAAGCTGTTGGCCAGTTACTAGTTTCTTATTGGCTAGCTCTGTCTTAAATATTAACCCATTTGTATTAATCTAAATATTTCCACGTGGTCTTATCTTACTAGAGAGCGGGCCCAGACCTCTGTTCTCTCTAGTCTCTACATCTTGACTTTTCCCTACTACTTCCTTGACTCCTCCTTGTCTCCTAGTCCCGCCTATCTTGCTTTCCTATTGGCTAACAGTGCTTTATTCTTTAACCAATAAGAGAAACATATTTATAGAATGACATCTCCCATCAGTGTATAGATCTTTCTTTCTTTCTCTTTTTCTTTCTTCCTTTTTGGCATTATGAAGCTCTGGCTGGCTTGGAATTTACTATGTAGACCAGCTTGGCCTTGAACTCAGAGATTTACCTGCCATTGCCTCCTGAGTGCTGGGATTAAAGTCATGAGCACCTGGCTCTTTCTTTCATTTTGTGTATCGTGGGCTGGCTTCGAATCCTAAATGTGTCTGAGAATGACCTTGAGGTTGTAACCTCCTGTCTCTGCTTCCCTAGTATTGGGGTCACAGGTGTACACAATTACAACTGCTTTATGCAGTGCTGGAGTTAGAACCTAGGGCTTGGTGCATGCTGGGCAGGTACTCTCCCAACAAAGCCACATGTACACGCCCTGGTGTGCTCTCGTTTATCTTGACAGTGTGTGTGTGTGTGTGTGTGTGTGTGTGTGTATGACTTTGTGTGCATGGGGGGACCAAACACAGTCTGGTTTTGACTCTGTTCTTCTATGACAACCATCCACAGAGACCTTTGTCACTTCAAAAGGTGTAAGGAGAGCCAGGGGATCTGATGTCCCCTTCTGTCTTCTGTGGTACCCACACAGTAGCATAGCTTTACACACACACACACACACACACACACACACACACACACACAAACACACAAGTAAAAATAAATCTTTAAAGAAAGGAAGAAGCAGAAATTTTAAACCTCAACTGTCATCCAAACTTATGGCATTTCATAATAGAAGGGCTATTTAGTGATCATGAAGTAGAATGTGTCAGCCTTACATGGAGGTCAGCACTGGGAAGATCTGCATTCCTGATTTCTCATGGCCCTGAGGTTTGAGGATGGCAGCTTTTGGAGACTTGAATGTTGGCTCCATTAGCAAGAAAGGTACTCCTTCCTCCAAGTCCTCTGTGTGTCTCATCCTGGAAAGGTTCTGTCTGAGATCATGGTGGGCTGAGCTGTCCCCTGAGCCATTCCAGATGCTTAGCGTAGAAGGCCAGATGTACACAGGCTCTAGAGAGGCTCCCGCCAGTTCTACACAAGTGGCAGGGAGGAAGGTTTCTGTGTAGTTTTTGAGCTGTGTGTAAAAAGTTCCATTTTCTCTGCACGGTGAAAACACCAGTGATCAGAGTAGACAGTGGGGTTGGCTCTTCTCAGTGAACACACATAGCTCCAGTTCCATGGAAGAGGTGAAGGAGCCAGGATAGATCGTCTGGACTGACAGGCGGAGGACAAGGATGTAGATGTTGGAAGCTCTGAATTCCACTGAGGGAGAGAATTTTCAGCCTCCCATTGCTTATGTCCCCACCTGCCAGGCTGGAGCCACGCTACTCTTAAGGGGCAGTGTTTGGAAGACCTTGGGGGCTTTCTAC